CGCGCACACGTGAAAACCACTTGTCATATACTTTCTAGTGTCACACCTGCGGCTGTGATAAACACTGAGTCAGAGCGGCTCAGTCTGTGTGACAGGCAGATGAAAGAGCTGAGCTCGCTGCCGCTGGTGCCCCGATCTGTTGTGTACAGTTAGGGGTGGTGGCAAGTGGGGAAGTATTAAGATAGGCAATCCAGCAGGAAGGCGGGGGGGACGAGGACGGGTGTGGGCAGCTGAGGCTGTGCTGTCACAGCCAGTGAGAGAGAGCCCCAGGGAGGCTGGAGCTACAGGAGGGTGACATTGAGACTCACGTCTGTATTAAAGAACACACTTCACTCAACACAGACTACCACCAGCACACACTGAGGGGCTACGAGAGCTTTTCTTCTCCTTCTTTTTGTTATTTGTGTTCAGCGTCTGTCTAGACTTCATAGAGAAGTTTCTGGATCTAAAAAGTAAAGCTAACTTTAACTGGCTGAAGCTTGCTTTTTTTCGAGTGGCTGGCAGGGTGCAGCTCCTCTGGTAGCAACAAGAAGTCATTTTGTAGAAACAACATCGTCCTCCTCGGATCTATGACCTCAGTAGACACTTCTCCCTCTCTGGTTTAGTTCCAGCCCTTGCTTGTCATGTTTTGCTTCACCCGTCTTTGACATTTGGACTCAATATACAATGTGAAACTCTTGTTATTGTCATTTCTCTTAATTTTAAATGAATAGGATACATATTTAAAATTCAGCATGTTTTTGTTTCCTGGCTGAAATTTTTCAATTTTAAGTACAAAAACTTGGCAAAATAAAAAGAAAGAAAGCTGTAAGGGGGCAAGATTGTCATATGTTGCAATGATTATACTGAAAAATGCTGCGCTACTCTGCTGATATTGGACCAGGATTAGAATAAACAATCCACATAACAGTGCAATATCCTGCAAAGAAAAGTATTTTTGTAGTTAAAATGCATATCAGGTTAAAAAAAAAAAAAGCAATTCTTTGTTTTTACATTAATAAGGTCCCAATCATCCCAAACAACAAAGAGAAATTAAAAATTCATGCCATGAAAGAGTTCGGGTCAAAGTGGACGTCCAAGATCTCAATGCAATCAATTAAAAATCCCATTTTGATTATATTATTATTATTTAACTTTAACAAAAGCCCTGAGAGTAAGGCTGGATTATGAAGAAAATATCATCAACTGTCTTTGTTTATTTTTTGCAATATTGTAGATTTTCCAGTTTTTACTAAATTTAGCTCGAGGCTTCTTCCACACTTTTTGTACCTTTGTAGTCTAGAATAAAAAGAAGTTTGTTTTGTTTCGAGTACTCAATGTGGTTTATTCACAGCAGCAGATTTTTTTTTTTAAAAAACAAACCAGGCATGAATAAGTATGTAAATACTTATGAAGGAACAAGTTGAGAAAGTACTCAAATGTGAAGCTGATGGCTGAGCCAGACGATGCAGAGATTTCTTTCTTTAGAAAAGAAAGTGTTGACTTCTTTAACAGCACAGTGATCCATTCCTGCTCTAAACCCGGATCATTTTGTGGCCGCTCAAGCAACTGAGCTCCATCTGCAATGTGTTCTGCGTGCATTTAACCCCCATTACATGCACTGTCCCACCAAGATTAATTTGATAGCTATGTGCATGTATAAATAATGCATTTCCCGGAGTCAAACTACTTTGCCTTTTCCAGTACACGAACTCACTTAGCAGAAACTGCAGCTCTGTGATCCGCTCATTGTCTCTATACAGGCCTCTTCCTGCAAATACTTATTACATTGTGTCAAAACTAAGTAGGTTTAGCCATGTGGACGTGCACATGATCAAGTTTTCCTACACTGTACAGTAGAGATCTACTTGACTTGCTTGCTGTTATTCCAACACTGTAATCACCTCACGCTGTTGTGAAGAGCATTTGGAAAATTACGGACTTTTGCTCTTACTGGAAGACCTCTGGTGATGTGC